ACAGAAGCTGCTAAAAGAAAAACAATCAATGCCATCTACAATCATGCTTACTGCGAACTGGAAAAAAGAATCCAATAAGATGCTTTTCCCCTCTTCTGGATATCCTTCTAAAATAAAAATTTTACCACCATAATGCCAAGATATAACACTTGCTTTGCCTTCCAAAACCAAGTCTACTTAGCTTCCGAATGGCACTAAGATCTTCAATCTCTTAATATAGGTTCGAGTTTTTGCTGAGATCAAATAACAGTGAGCCACGGCTCTAAAATTAAAAAAAAGCAAAGTTTCTAAAATTATCACTGTTTTATACATAGCCTTACAGCTGAAACAACATCCAATATTCAAAATTGTTATTTTAAAAGAGGAAAAGGCCATCTTTGACTTTGATTTTTCATGTGTCTTAGGACACTTTGGACATCAATCCTGAATATGTAGTATCTTCAGCCATGCTGCTGAATAAATAATATGTAAGAGAGGCTAATAACTACAGCTGGGAAGCTTCTCACTTTTACTCTGTACTGTCTGAAGCTTGAACACAAAGGAGCCAACACAAAAAAGGAACAAAACAAAGCAGAGACAGAGAGATAAATGCCACAACTTGGATTACATCTTTCAACTGTCCACAAAATTTCGTATTGCAGTAATTCTGTGAATGCACTGAGACATCCCTGGGGCAATTTTTCAGCAGGTGAAACCTCTCCTACCATTCAAATGCTTTGCCTGTACAGTTTTCCAGGGCATTCTCACACACAGTGAGGATGACCATGTTCTGTGAAGCTCTTCCACAAGAGCCTCCCAAATCCCCTTTTCCATCTGACAAGGCTATGAAGGACATCTTATCCTTGCTCACTGCACTCCCTGACGTACAGCACACAGTCACAAAGGCAGAACAAGCAACCCTCACATTTATTATTATGGGATTACCATGCCAAACCCATGTGGTCCACAGCATGGAGGCCACTTTCTGAGGTCTATCCAACCCTGAGAAGAGACTATGGAGAGGGGTAGATGCCACACCGCCATCTTGGAAAGGCCACTTGCAAGTCCACATCTACACCACCCAACCTGGGCACCTGCTGACTGGAGATTAGCAGTAGGTGAGATTAAAGAACTGATGGATGCCTCCAGTCAGTGAAGGACGGTGACCCCAGGAGGAGGCATCTCCTCTCAGGTAGGAGGTGTTTCAGTAAGTCCTCAGGCAGGACGCCAGGTAGTCCGTAGGCAGCTGTAACATCTGGCAGAGATTTCGGATTCACATCCTGACTGGAATGAGGAGGGAGAGGACACCCAAGTGTCCTGAGGTTTTCTTCAGGGAGGACTGTGAAACATCAATTTTATCCACGTAACTACAGGACCCACAGACATGCTACAAGACCAGCGAGGACCACCAACAGGCAGGATCCCTATGCTGCTAAAATTTGGTAAGGATTTGTTGTTTAGACAATGCTGTGGAGCAGAAAATATTACGCACTGTTCTTTTCTCACAGGTAGAAAGATTTGGGGATGTCTTTTCAACCACTGATTGCGAGTCTCTTCAGAAACACAGTTTTCTAGGGGTGTGATGGGACTGCCAGGAAGGCTACTGGAGCCTGTTTTCTCACCATTTTCTCTATCTACTCTGATAGCTGCTTCCACACAAAATTTGTCTCTAGATATGTTCTGAACAGATTTGCTTTAATCACCTTTTCCTTTTTTTTAGTGAATCCAGCATGACCCTTTTCAAAGTAAACAAACAAGCTTCCCACCCCCAAATGCGGGAGCATAATCATGGACTCAATGACAGATCAATATGATCATAGTTGAAGACCCTTTACTAGAGCATCAGACATCATTTTTATACATTGGTTACATCCATACATGTGTTTAGCTATTTTACTATTGGTTACACACATTATTCACGTGCTGTCCACGCACCTAGTTACACTTAATGATTGGTTATATCAACGCTGTACACGTGCATAAACATAGGACATAATTGGTTATACCAACTAAAACATGCGAAACTTGTCTCAGTCTAATTGGTCAAGATGAACTGCCGAATTGAGGTTGTTTGTGCCAAGTTCCCTTTATCGTGGAATGCGCACCTGTGTTCTTCTAATTGGCATCTTTCTTTTTTTGTCTTCTTGTTTATTCTGTTCAAGGCCTTCTAAAGGCGTCTGGAATGCTCTTGTGACCATTAGCTAAATATGTGTCCACACCCAAACACCCCAAAGTGACTGGGATTGCAATAAGAACACAGGAGCAGCTTCCCTCTCATGCTAATTTCCTTCTTTCATTCCCCATTCTGCATGGGCAGGTTACTAAGGATGAATCATGAGTCACTTGCCTGAGCTCCAGGTGACAGCCACATGAGTGTTGTGAAATTCCATGCGGGGATGGACGACAGGACAACAATATGATGATCAAAGTTGCCAGTTTATTGAGCCTAGCTGATCATTGTTATACAGTTCTCTAAGTTCCTAAGAAGCTTTGATTGGCTGCTGCATGCAAGCGTTTAGTGTCCACGCACACAAGCATAAAATATGATGGGTTATATCGACACTGTACACGTGCATAAACATAAGATATAGCTGGTTATACTAACTCTGTACATGCGCATAAACATAGGACATAATTGGCTATATCATCTAAAACATGCGAAACTTGTCTCAGTCTAATTGGTCAAGATAAACTGCCAAATTGAGGTTGTTTGTGCCAAGTTCCCTTTATCGTGGAATGTGCATCTGTGTTTTTCTAATTGGGATCTTTCTTTTTCTGTCTTCTTGTTTATTCTGTTTAAGGCCTTCTAAAGGCGTCTGGAACCCTCTTGCGACCATGAGGTACTTTCAGGCCCAGTAACTAAGTTCCATATAATTGACCCCTACACGTGAGATACTCTGGATTTATCCTGGGCAGCACTAGGTCCACTGAAGCCTAAGTGACCACAACCATTTAGAAAATAACATACTGAAACATAACTCCTTGGCTGGGTGGGTGAGGAGAACAGGCAGGATCATCTGGGAGAAGCATCTTTGTCTTTAAGTGATCTGGGGGAAAAAAAAAGATGAATCAAAGACAAAATAAAGACTCTGAAACTGAAATGGTGTGCCTTATGCTGGAATTGAACTGTGCCTGGGGGAAGGAGGGCAGTGAATATTGTTTTGCTCTGCAGATCGAAGGGAAGACCATAATACAGGGCTGTGAATTTGGCCAGAAGCAAAAGAGCCTACGTTATTTTTGCTGATGCTAGAGCTGCCTCTCTGAATACTAAAGCTGCACAGTCCATCTCTGTGCCTTGAATGCAAGGTAATGTTGACATGATTGACATTCACTAAGCAAGGAACAGCTGAGTGAAAAAGGAACTGGAAGTGAACATAATTGGGATTCCCTCTTTTCTGCTTGTTTCTCACCATCTCCTGCAATAACTTTTTTCTTTTCTTTGAGCTGTGATTTTACAGATTGTAATAAAGAATGGACACATGGAGAGAAAACCAGACTGTTTTATATAATACAATTGTCCCAAGCATGAATGCAGAGACCTAATGTATTCCCATGGGTGTTCTCAATCACCACCAAAAGGTAAATTCTTAGAGCAGCTGTTTCCCCTAAACCCACTCAGATGGATTCAGCTCCTACAAGGGGCAGTGCCACTGCACTTAGACCTTTACAAGCCACCAAAAGCTTCAAGCTCCGCCACATTCATTTCCACTTCCCCGAGAGACACACAGAGCTAGAAGTGCTGGGGAGCTCCAAAGCTGCCTGTCGTGCACTTCAGTGAGCCAGACCCCAAGCAGGGCTGTCACAACCCATCTCAGGCCTACAGGTGCGGAAAAAGGGGAGCCAGGCACAGTGTTACACCAGGCAAAAAGGCAGCAAGGTCTGGATTCAGAAATACAGCACACAAGGACAACTTAGCCCAATGAATGCTACCCCATAGTCAAAGGCATGCTGTACATCGCTGGCTGCACAGGGCACACCACCACAGGACAACTGCAGCAAGAACCCCAGGGCATCACATCTACATGGCATTTGGGATGAAAAGCACCGCTCAGACCTATGAGTTGTAGGGACCTACCCTACATTCATGAGGAAGACATGGCTCAGCCAGCACGGGTGAGATGCAGCAGCTCAGCAGAGGACAGCAAGGAAGAACCCCTGTCCCTCATCCAGGCCTGGCCCCAATCAGAGTGAGCAACTACAGTTGCTGGAGGGGAGCAGGAATCAACACGTGCTCTTTGGACTGACCCTCTGCCACCACCTGCACCAGCTGGACACCACACCCACAGGGCCACCAGCCCCACAGGGCCAACTGCTTGGTGCCCATCCCCACAAGACCTCAAAATCCCCAGGGCCAGCTGCAAGGGACCCCAGACCCCATGGGGCCTTCAAATCCCATAGGGCCAGCTGCACCAAACTGCACAGGGCTCCTAAACCCCACAGAGCCAGCCACATGGGATCCCTAAACCCCACAGTGCCCCTAAACTCCACGGAGCCAGCTGCAATGGGCCCTAAACCCCACAGGGCTCCCTAAAACACACAGAGCCAGCTGCAAGAGGCCTTAAACCCCACAGGGCTCCTAAACCCCACAGAGCCAGCTGCAGTGGGCCCCTAAACCCAACAGGACCCTCTAAATAACACAGGATCGGGGGGGGAGGAAAAGCCCCTAAAGCCCACAGAGTCAGCTGCATTGGGTCCCTAAACACCACAGGACTCCCTAAATCCCACGGGGTCAGCAAAAAAAAAAAAAAAGTGGGGCCCCTAAACCCCACGGGGCCAGATGCAAGGGGCCCCTAAATCCTAAAGTGCTCCCTCAACTCCACAGCACCAGCCGAAAAGAGCCTCTAAACCCTACGGAGCCAGCTGCAAGGGGCCTTTAACGTCCCACAGGGCTCCCTAGACCCCACAGAGCCCCTGAAGCCGCACAGCACGATCCGAGCCAGCGCCCCAGAGCGGCGAGGCGAACGAAAGACAAGCGGCGGAGGGACTTACACCGACACCCGGTCCCTTCCGGGGCGGAGCAGGGGCGGATCGCAGCTGAGTGAAGCGGGGACGGCGGCACCATGATGGCGCAGCGGGCTCTTCCTAACCCCTATGCGGACTACGACAAGTCTTTGGCCACCGGCTATTTTGATGCCGCCGGGAGGGTGAGTAGGAGCGGAGTGAGGCGGCCGGGGCGGGAGCGGGGCCGTCCCCGGGAAGGCCCCGCTCCCGCCCCGGCCGCGAAGCCAAGCTAAGCAGCCAGGAGCCCAGCCTGGTCCTGAGGTACCCAAGGGTTTCTAGCAGAGACCTCTCAGGTTAAAACCACACGGTTTCCTGGTTGTGCTCCCTCTGGGTACCTCCAGCTTACCAAGAACCCCTCTGCCTGCTGATCTTTTCTTCAAGTTTAGTGTTTTGGGTTTTTTTTTCCCCTCCGCAGCTGACCCCTGAATTCACGCAGCGGCTAAATAACAAAATCAGGGAGCTGCTTCAACAGATGGAGAGGGGCCTCAAGTCTGCCGACCCGCAGGACTGCACCACGTACACTGGCTGGGCAGGTAGGGTGGCCGATCGGATGGGATGGAGCAGGAGCTCTCTGCAGCGGACTTCTAGGTCAGGCCAAGGCAGACCGTGAAGTTTTCTGTCTGTTTCAACAATCACAGTACATCCATGGCAAGAACATTGCTGCTTCTGCATGTTTTAATCCATTTTTCAATCCATTTTTAATCCATTAAAACAAGGGGCTGTCTTTCTCAGCACTCCTCATTTTTGGAGCAGGTTTCAAGCTGCAGAGGGAAGACTGTAGCATTGCAGGGCAGGATTGGGTCTTCTCTTGGTTAATAGTGCCAAACTTTTGCAACGGAGAAGGCCAGCACCTGCCTGAGAGCAAACATGGGAGCCTCTGAAGGGACTGCCTCCAAATCTGGCCATGGTGGGGATGGCAACAAGTAAACCAGTGCTCTGTGAAGTAGGCAGATGCGCGTGGTGGGTCATGTACCTGCGAGGAGTCCTTGCATATGGCAGTGGTGAGCTTACAGCCTAAGATGATGTCCATCTTTTCTGTTTGGGTTGAATTTTATCTTATGACATTGTCTGATTGGCAGGTTGCTCCATTCCTGTTCCCCAGGTAGTGCCCCTCCACTTAGCCAGGGCTAGTTCTGCTCCAGTACCTGCTGGAAGGAGCAGAAATGCAAATGTGAGTATAAGGAAGGATGGAAGCCTTCCTCACACTAACTCTTGTGTGCAAAGCTTCCAGGAGCTTGTCTTTCTCCTGTTCTGCATTTTCAACCTGGTTTTCCTTCCTTGGGAGCATGCCCTGTCTTCCCCTCCCTATTCCTACCCACTGGAGCCAGGAGGACTCACCTTTCTCTGCCGTCTCATCCTTGGCTACTGCTGTGTGCTTTGTCAGCTTTCCTGCCTTCTGCACTGTGCCAGGCTCTAGGGAGGGACCCTGGGGTAGTTGCAATTAATCTTATGCTTGCTGCAAGATTTTTTGCCGCTGCTTTTTCTTTTTTTTTTTTTTCTTTTTTTTTGGCAATACACTGCCATCCTAAATGGGATGTAATTGCATTGTAATTCGGGTGTGGCTGGCTTGTGCTTGGATGCTGTGGAACTCAATGCCAACAGTTTGCTTGGGAGAATGATGTTCATAGTGTTGGTGCTAAACTAACGTCGCAGTTTGATGACAGCAATGCCAGAAATGCCTGCTTGAAAATTTTAGTAAGGTAGACCGGCACTGAGAGCACTCTAGAGCAGTTCATAAGAAATACTAGGATGCCAGTATTAAATTCCAGCATGGGAGAACATTGATTTCATCAGTTGCTGCCTGGCAGCACTCTGCTGCTGCTGCTTGTGAATTTATGCATTTTTGTTCAGTGCTGGCTGATTTCACCTTGGGAGACAGGTTCAGTCTTCCAGTCTGTGTGACCCTGGTCTGAGGTCCCCTCAGATGAAAAGCACTCCATACTTAAAGATGGTCTCCAGTCATGAGGGTGCTACTTAGCATGATGGTAGAGTCTACCTCTGGCCAAAATAATTCAGTAGATAAAGCAGGGGGACAATTAGCTGGTGTTAGGAGTACTCAAAAAATCTGTGAGAAGGTAAACACCTTTCCCCAGAGACCACATTCCCTTTCCTTAGGGTGGCCTTAAGGAGCTTCATGTTGGAAAGTGACTGCAGTTGTGAAATATGGGTTGAGAGTTCTGGTAGCATTTCAGCTTTTTTTATTTGGAAGGGAGTTTCTCAAGAGGGATTCTTCTCTTTTCCTCCTAGGAATTATTCCTCATTGGGCACACAACCTTCTCACCTTGGCTAATAGGATTAGAAAAAAAACCATGGACATTTCCTGCAGGTCACAGCCAAGGAAGTGAAGTTTGCAGATATTACACTGTATCTTTGTCACCCTCCCTTCTTTTCTAATCCTAGCTATATTAATTTATTCAGTGCTGGTTTCCAGAGACAAAATTAATTGGGCCAAGACAGCAGCTTTTCCCTGTAATTGCTTATGTAGAAAAGGCTTGTTGAGTATCTTCTCATGTAAAATCATTGGCCAGCAGTCTGAAATCAACCCGCACTCCTGTGGCTGCTAATAAGAGAGATTTGAAATGTGGCTCTCTGGGCACAAACTCAGCGTGAAATGTAACATACTTGAGTGTACTACATTACATCCATATACAACATATGCTGGCATTTTACTTTGGTGCCTGTTTCTTTCCCAACACACTTGACAGAGCCCTGTTCCCCTGGCCTGCATTTGTGCCAGGGAAGCCACAGCTTCTTGGCATATGGAGTTGGAGCCGAGGGAGGGAAGGACCTGTATTTTCAGCTCAGAGGCAGTGAAAACACTTTGGATCACGATTATCCAGCGCACAGCTGAATGCCCTCAAAACACATTTGAATCGGCTTGTTACAGTTTCATTGAGTTCCCCATAGAGATCAGGGCCCCGTAGGGAACACCTAGTACATGCCTGGGTATAGACCAGACTTGGCTGTTGTGTTCTGTTTTGTCTTTTAATCAATTTAGCTAGACTGCTGTAAGAGCTTTTGTGGTCTTAATCTGTTTCACTGGTATCAAAGTGTTGACTGAGGGAAGGTAAACTGCCGTAAGCTAATTCTGAATCAGAAGCAGTTCAAATCCTGGCAGAAGTACAACTGCCTCATCCATTTTCAAATAGATTAGGACGAGGATGCTGAAGAATACGTACATGTGTGTTGGTATTTCTCATAGTACACGAGGCCTTGCTCCAAAGACTACCTCAACTGGGAGCATAGACGATGGAAAGGGAATGGAAGGAGACTGACTTCACTCCTGTCACCTCTTAGCTGACTGCAGAAGCTAGGAAGCTCCCGAGTCCAGTGCCTGCTCGACTCGTGTCCTTCCAAGATGATGAGGTGATCTGCCACCTGAAACGGTATATAAGGGAGAGATTCCTCTTCCTCCACATTATGGCAGTGCCTTTGGAATTTATTTCCCATGTGAGCATTCCCTTCTCTAGCAATGCCATAGTCATGGCTTTCAGAGCTCAAGGGCCTCTGAAACAGACCAATGAGTCCAACTGGCCTGCCCCACCCACAGCTTTTGGCTGGCCTGTTGGCAAGTAGAGATGAGGAGCAGGGCTGAGTTACCTTTTGAAACGACACTTCAAAAGACAGACGAGATGAAAGGAAATGGGTAGAAACTCTGACCATACCAGTTCAAGAAAGCTTCTGGTAAAACAACTTTCATTCACTTTAGTGCAATATCTTAGTTTTAACCTGAGAACCCAGAGAACTTGCATCTCCTTAAGAAAGTTTTGTTCAGAAAAACAGAAATCCTTGGATAATCCCTACAGAATAAGAGGCAGTGAGACTGCATTTGATGAGAGAGAATAGAATGCCTTGTGTCATCGACATAAACCACATTCCTGCCAAGCGCTTGTTGGCTAGTTTTTGTGAAATCTCTGTTCTTGGAGATAGTCAGTATTTGACTGGACAAGGCTCAGAGCAATGGGATGTAAATTTGAAGTTGGTCTCACTTTTAGAGGGTTGGATCAGATCACCTCCACAGATCCCTTCTAACCTAACCTGTTGTAGGATTCTGTGATGGGGTAATGGGTAGTTTTGGTTTGGGCTGGGCTCGGTTTTTTGTTTGGTTTGTTGTTTTTTTTTTGAGGGGGAAAGCTTCTTTTATAAAAAGTAAGGCTGGAGAAGCTGAGGTGTCCTGAGAAATGCCCCATAATGCACTAGGAAGGCAAGCTGCAAGCTGTAGTAAAATGCACCTGTGCGCAGACAGTTCTGAAGATGGAGTGATACAGCCGTCCGGAGATGCCTCACTGCCCCATTCAGCATGGCTTTGGCATGCATTTATGACTGCAAGATAACATCCCATGCATCTGCACCAGAAAAGATGCTTATTATCCTTTGAGCTGGGCAGTAAAGCTATGGTACCCCCTCTGTAACTTTTACTCCATGTCTGACGCCTTAAAATGACATGAGGTTTCTCACTAGAAACAACCAGGCTTCATCACTATGTGCAGAGTTAGGTTTCTGCTTCTTCCCTCTGTGTTTGACATCCTGCTTTGAGTGTGCTGGCTGATTTACTCCCCCAGGTCAACGTGAGATCTCTGAGCTCTTTATTATTGTAGATGGCAGGTTTGGAACTGGTCCAAATTAGGTGGAGATTCTCTTGCGGCAAGCTGATGTCCTTTGTGAAAGGACCACATTGCAGCTCAGCTCCTGGTGGACAAGGAGGCATGTTCAGAACAATCTAATGGGCATCCCTGCTGGTGCTGTCAGCAAGGGGACTGCAGTGGAGCTGACAACGAGCAGTGCTTCCTCTCACTTTTATCCACTCTGTTCAGCATGAAGGAGAAGCTTTGTCTCACTACTGCTGTTCTCCCACCAGCAGAACTGTTTGCAATGGTAGTGCAATCCAACATAAAGAACAAGCCTAAACTCGCAGGGAAGTTGAGGCACAGCTCTGCTTCTCCTTGATCAACAGAATGGTCGTATGGATGAGATATTCTTTCAGCCTACTGCAGTGCTTTACTCTCAAGCAAGAACTTTTCTGGTATGTCCAGTGATGTATGCTCTGTTGAAAGCAATGGTTGCTAAAGTCAGGGCCATCAGCTCTAGCCAATTGGTGCAGCTGGTGTAAAGAATTCCATTTCTACAACGTACATTTAAGTCTCTTCCTCTGCCCTGCTCAAAAGAAATCTCTAATGCAAAGCACCCCTCTGCATCTACAATACTGTTTATACAGGATGGCAAGAGGAGGGAGATGTTGTTTACTGCCCTACTGAAGGTGTTAAATAAACAGGCTTTGTGAGAGACATGCAGAATTGATTTTTGCCTCCCTGCAGCAAGCAAGCATCTCGGGCATTAACACTCCAGTGTTTTGGCTTCTTGCACATTAGAGATGGCAGTTTTGGTCATCAGAGCCCTGCTAAAGGATATCCTGTCAGTAGCACATGCGTTCACTGCAGTCCTGCACCATCAAGTGATGTCTGATGCATTCTTCATCACATGTGGCTATGCAGCAGGTGTTACACTGCAAGGAGCAAAAAACTTTGAAGTCTGGAGAAACTACAGAGAAGAAAGTTGGATAGCAACCAGTAAACAGAACAAAGCCCATACATCTTTGGCAGTAGCAGGCCACAGGCAGTCACTGCATGGCAGTTCTGCTGGAAACAACCAGGAGTCTCAGAGGTCACAAAAATATGTCACATTTCCAACTGGGACACTGAACACCTCCAGGGCGCACAGAAATGGAGCAGACCCACTGCTTACCTAGCCCCATTTGACTGATGATGCCATGTTTGTATAGCACTTAAAGCATGCCAAACAAACGCCCAGTCAGTTGGCAAACCCTACCTGGTCAGTTGGGGTAAGGAAGATATTATTGGAGAGGGAGTGAGGCAGAGCTGTGGAGTAGCTTCTGCAGAGCAACACTGCCTAGCTGAGCCAAGTTCATTAGGTGGAAACTCTCTTGTCTCCAAATTGCAATGCCTCTGAAATGTGCTGCCTACATCTTGGCACTCAGGTCAATATAGAATATTCCCCACCCAGGTGACTGCATTTTGTATCCCTTTACATACATCTGTAAACATTGCCTCTTTATGCATGGGCCTGCCCCCTCTGCTGGCCTTCCCTACTTTTGGGCTCTCAGATAGCAACAGAGCAAGCAGCGTGCTAAAGGCAGCACTGCATTGTACCCTTGATTGATCAGCTTGAGAGTATGAATTCCTTGAGGAATGAGTTGAGAAAATTGGCTTTAGATTCAGTTTGTAAGGCCTTTGGGTTTTAAATAAAAAGGAAAAATGAATTATTTGGGGAAGCAACTCACGCCTTCCATCATTTAGTATAGGTCAGTGGTTTTTTGGAGTCTTTTCCAAAGATGCTTGGGCCTGGGAGGAAAGGGGGCAAGAAATGTTTTAAGAGAGGAGAGGCAAAGAAGTCAGGGGAAAACAAGGGTGAGACATTTGCTTTCTAAGAATTCAGTCATAGCAGTGGTCTTAGCATGGTAGTTATGTACATAATTAGGATGGTATGATGGCAGTGGGAGTAGAAACTACTTACAAAGCAAAAAGTTGTATATTAAAGCGGATAGGTCAAGAGTGCAAGTTGTGCTCAGACAGCTGTCAGGCCTATTGTGGTGGGTTGACCCTGGCTGGGTGCCAGGTGCCCACCAAAGCCACTCTATCACTCCCCCTCCTCAACTGGACAGGGGAGAGAAAATATGACAAAAGGCTCGTGGGTCGAGATAAGGACAGGGGGAGATCACTCAACCAATTACCATCACGGGCAAAACAGACTTGACCTAGGGAAAATTAACTTAATTTATTGCCAGTCAAACCAGAGTAGGGTAATAAGAAATAAAACCAAATCTTAAAACACCTTCCGCCCACCCCTCCCTTCTTCCCAGGCACAGCTTCACTCCCAAATTCTCTACCTAGCCCCCTGCCCAGCGGCACAGGGGGATGGGGAATGGGGGTTGTGGTCAGTTCATCACACATTGTCTCTGCCACTCCTTCCTCCTCAGGGGGAGGACTCCTCACGCTCTTCCCCTGCTCCAGTGTGGGGTCCCTCCCATGGGAGACAGTCCTCCACAAACTTCTCCAACGTGGGTCCTTCCCATGGGCTGCAGTCCTTCAGGAACTGCTGTAGCATGGGTCCCTTCCACGGTGTGCAGTCCTTCAGGAGCACACTGCTCCAGCGTGGGTCTCCTGCAGGGTCACAAGTCCTGCCAGAAAACCTGCTCCATGGGCTCCTCTGGCTGTGGGGCCACAGGTCCTGCCAGGAGCCTGCTCCAGCATGGGCTTCCCATGGGGTCACAGCCTCCTTCAGGCATCTGCCTGCTCTGGCATGGGAGGACCCCTCCATGGGCTGCAGGTGAATATCTGCTCCACCATGGACCTCCCTGGGCTGCAGGAGGACAGCCTGCGTCACCATGGTCTTCCCCATGGGCTGCAGGGGAATCTCTGTTCTGGCACCTGGAGCACCTCTTCCGCCTCCTTCCTCATTGACCTTGGTGTCTGCAGGGTTGTTTCTCTTATATGTTCTCACTCTTCTCTCTGGCTGCAGTTTCTGTGCTGCAGCAACTTTTTTTCCCTTCTTAAATACGTTATCCCAGAGGTGCTACCACTGTCACTGATGGGCTTGGCCTTCGCCAGCAGTGAGTCCATCTTTGAGCTGGCTGGCATTGGCTCTGTCGGACATAGGGGAAGCTTCTACAAGCTGCTCACAGAAGCCACCCCTGTAACCCCCCTGCTACCAAAACCTTACCACGCAAGCCCAATACACCTGTTAAAGTCTAGCTGTACTAGGTGCTAAATAGATCAAGGAGAGTGACTTGACATTTGCTATCTAGAAGAGGAGTGTTCCCCTTTAAAGAACGGCTTCATATCCACATCCTTATAGAGGTGAGTGATGGCACCGTACATCTGAGCTCTCTCTGGAAATACTAACACTGAACTGCTTAGAGAGAGGACAAGGTTATTAGCTTCAGGAGGAAATGGAAATTTGCCCTTAATATACACGTGGAATTGAATTGTGTGTAGCATGAAGCTTTGGAGATTACCCATGCAAAATGAGAACACGATCTAAATTTAAAATTGTCCTCAGTACCATGGAAAGGAATTTTGCAGCATGTTTGCCCCCCTTCACCTTACCACATCAAAATCTGCAGAGATTGGCTTTATTAATTTAGGTTTAAACACAGGACCTGAGTCTTCTTAGAAATGGTTACCGGTAAGGGAAGAAGTAAGCTTCTCTCAAACTGATGTAGGCCAGTAGCTTTCTTCAGTGCATGTTTGAGGATGCCTTCCAGATCAGAAGGATGGTCCAAATGTGGCAGACCTTTCAGACACAGACATACTGAGGACTTCTCGGTTACCTACTAAAAGCTTCAAGAGCTGGATGAAGACAGGGCAGACAGAGGCAAAGGACAGCAATTGATGTGATTTCTCAGGAGCAGAGTTGTTTCTGTAGCTGGCTAGCCCACTGAAAACCTTCAGGGAGGACCATGCAGCCTTTTCCAGCATTCCAGGTAGCTGTTTATGTTTCAGACAACAGCTGATCTCGTGAATCATGTGCTGCAGAGGAGAGTGAGGCAGCCCCTTTCTTTTCTAGGACACACCAGTCCTTGGTGTAGGGCTTGGGACCTGCTCAGCACCAGGAGATGATGTCCAGGGAGCTGTAATAATCTTGCTGGTGCTTCCCAGTGGGAGGGAAGGGGGGGGGGGGGGGGGAAGAGAGAGACAAGTAGAATGTCTCAAGGATGCTGCTTCTCAGTGCTGATGATGTGTCACTTTTTTTAAAATCTAATCCAAGCTAAGTGACGCAGCCCTTTACCTCCTGGCATGGGAAAAAATAATTGAGATACGGTAACAACTCCACACTGCTCTGCCACAAGTACCATCTTGCCCAAAGATGATTTTTTTTTCCTCTACTGTTTAGCAACAGTCCCAGCTACAGTTGATAGATTTTAGGTTGGTTTGTCTAGGTCTCATCTTTTGCTTCTCACTATTAAAATTGTATGTAACCTGTGTATCAAAAGCTCTGCAGTCCTCCAGGACCTCCTGGGTCAGACACTGCTGTTTGTCTTGACCTGCTGTCCAGTTGTGCGCAGCATCAAGTACAAGGAGGTCACAAAGCAGGAAAAGAAGCTGTGGCTGCTGCAGCCAGGGTTATGCCCCTGGATGTGCCCGAGAAGCCTGTCTAGAAGGCTTATACCCTAGACAAGGCTGAGGGCTAGGCTTTTACATTCATTAAAACAGCCAGGGCACATAGTGGGAAGGGTAAACTTTTCAGGTGGGTACGACCTTTATGTTCCTTTTGCAGGCATTGCTTTGCTGTATTTGCACCTGTATGATGTGTATGGAGACCCAGCCTACCTTCAGGTGGCCCACGAGTATGTGAAGAAGAGCCTGAGCTGTCTGACAAGACGATCCATCACTTTCTTGTGTGGAGATGCCGGGCCCCTGGCAGTGGCTGCTGTCGTCTTCCACAAACTGCAGAACCAGAAGCAGTCAGAAGACTGTGTCACTCGGTAAAAAACACTTGGTTACATCTTTGACCTAACGTTCCACTTGCTAATAGAGCTGGTCTGGGCTTGTACCAGGCACTCTCCACCAAGCCTGAATACATTTTGTTGCAGTCTTATGTGAGAGATAATCCAGTAACTTAGCAAGGCAGCGCAAATTTGTTCTGCCCTGGGGAAAGAGCTGGCTTAAGGACAAACATGCTTGCCTGGCAGCCTGCAGTCCGGGGAGCAAGGATATTGTTCAGCTGGTATTGCTATCTTAAAAATAATTCCAGTAAACACAGAAGAAAAAAAAAGCCAAAATTTAAAAAACCCAGAAGGTGAGGTTTGGTATTTTTTCAGAACCTTTAAATTTAGCTTTACAGGCATTTTGATGAAAAGGAGAAATGTGGTAGGATTATTAGAGTAATTTTGTCACTCACTTCCACTTGCTATTTGTTAGTTGACTTTGACTTAAACCTGAGATTGACAGCATCCCTTTCAACTGCTGAATGCAGCTGGTTATGATTCATTTATTTCTATTTCCTGCCTTTCCTCAACTGTTTTCAAATGTATTTTTGTTGGGTACTTAAGACAAGAAAAGGACAAACAAGCAGTCCTACAGTCAGATCAGCATGTGGCAGCGGAAGGAAAAAAGTTAAGGAGATGCAGTTGCAAGCTTTTCTTGCTTAAGGGAGATCAGTTTTGAGAAGGTGAGAAACAGCTCTGTAAAGAGTTTCCATTTACACGTGGTCAGCACAAAACCAAGACAAAACCCCTGACACTTCAGAACAACACTGAGTGCCCTTAAACAGCCATCAGCAAGTGATGCACAATATTAATTTAAAAAGCCATGGGTGGGAATCAGAGGTGCCTGTATGGTTTGGACACCAAGTTCCCACTCTCTTAACTAAGAATAGCTTCTGGGTTAGGTGGATACTGTCAGTCTGAGGACAGAACTCTTCTTTATTCTTGAAATAATCTGTGGTTTAGGTTTTGCTTAATACTGGTCAGTGGTGAATCTCACTATGATTAATATATTTGCTAACAAAAAGGGAACTATCTATTAAACAGAACTGGCCAGTTGTGGTCAATGCGTAAGCCCTAAGTTGTGAAAAATCCCTAATTCATGTTTTCTTACTGTAGCTCTCCCCTCCCGGTATCCCTCCTGTTCTGCCTACAGTTTTGTGGCAGAATGGAAACTCATGATTAATTCTGCAGTGCCATCTAATGGTATAATAAAGGCAGAGCCTTGGAAATTGGTTTCTTCATATATCTGAGAGGAGGAAAAAAAGAAAAATGTGGCTTTCTGGAAGGAACGGTTACACTGTCCTTACTCTGCCACCAATTCCCAGAGTAGTTAGCCTGGCCATGCTACCTTTAAAAAGAGATTATTTCTTTGAGAAATAGCTCCCTTAAAATCCATTTAAGAGTTTTGATTGAGTGTGCTGTTTAGTTACAAAACAGTTTCTAAGTTATGCAGTGCAAGTGCATAGGAAGTGCACTTCTATTACAGCTGTGGAGAAGGAGGGCCTCTTGTCCATTTTGTTCTCTGTCTTTTAAAGCACCTCATCTTTACAGAGCCTGAGGAGACAATCCATCAGCCAGGTTTTACCTGCAGTAGAAGAGACCAAAGCTTGCTTTTTCTTAGCTCCTTGCTCTTGCCTAAATGAGCTCATGACCAACAAATGTGCTTTTATGCTCTGGAGAGACTAACATTTCAGGGCAGCCCATTTTCCAAGAGCCTGTGAAAATCTGAGCTGTGTTCTAGGAGTCCTCTTTTCCCTCCATCTCCCACCAATTCAGAAGGTCAAAGGTTTGCTTTTAGAGCCAGTGGCATAGAAAAATCCCATCTTGCTCTACAGCTGCCTTGCTTTCCCTCTATCCAGAAACTGCTGATTTTTGACAGTTGAGGTAATAGGCCGATATGTGAGCAGGAGTGGTTCTTCCTTTCAGGGACCTTGATTTACCCCCTCGTGCCCAAGAAATGCATTCTGCATGCAGTCAGTCCAGCAGCATCCCAGGCATCTCTTGCTGCACGCATGCCATGCAGCCCTGCCCCATGTTTCAAAACAACAGAAACTGCTGGCAGGCTTCTTCCCCTGATTATCCTGGCTGGGAAAGCAGCTAGAGGTAGATGCGGTAATGCATAAGGAGCAAGAATAGTAGCTCCAGCTGCTCCAGATTTCCCCACGAAAAGAAGATTTCACATCCAGACCTCAGAAAATCCCTACTGTGGGTACTACTGTTTATCCGCCCATCCATTCTTTCTATTGCACCTGACATTTCCCTGACATCTGAGCTGAACAACATCACCAGCCAGCATCTCTTCTGGCCAGCCTGCTGCTGGGCAGAGTCCGTCTGGAAAAAGAGTCCATTTCCTCCTTGGAAACCCTCCTTTTCATCTGCCTTCCTTGGCCCTGGGGACAGGGGACATGAGGAGGCAGCAGGGCTTTCCTTTCAGCCCACACAGCTGAGAGAGGGACGCATGCTTACTCATAGTCTTGGATGTAAGTCTGTCGCTTGGGTTTAATCTGCGACAAATCTCCCCCATGGAGCAATGCACATCTCAAGTGGCACATGAGGAGACAGGGCTAATCCACTTTGAGACACTGCTTTCTCCTTTTGCCTTCAGTATCCCTGCTCACTTTTAGTGCAGTGCCAAGGGAAAGTTTTCTGCCATGGGGAGTCACAGCCCACCATCCTCTCTCTGCTCCAAGGGTACCCTGGACATTTGGTTGCTTCTTTCTTTTGCAGCACATTGTTCTGCCCAGGAGCAAAGGCTGCCAAGGCACCTTTTCTGCTCCTCACACTGCTGTGACAGGGAAGCCTTGCGCACACACAGCTCTCCTGGCTGGTTTCTTAGCCCTCTCCCTGTTGAAGCCGCAGCAGGAAGCAGCTGAGGAAACAGCCTTGAAGCCACTTACGCTGGTATTTTAAAAGTGATGGCATTTTTCAGATTGCTGTCTCAGGGGTGAACAAAAAAATAAAACCAAAACCAGTCACATCCCTGCCTGCTGCTCTGACAGGGAAGGACATCCAGCCTTGTTGGAAGCGTGATGAGAGGCAAAACAAAGGAAAAATTGCATCAAGAGTGAATTGGGCTACAAAGCACCAGTGTGAGGAGCTGTCAGTCTCTGTTAGTACTACAGGAATATCATCAACTTTGCAACACAATAATAAGGAAAATGGCAAAGAAAATATCTGACTCCAGCAGACCTCTTCCTCTGCACTTGTGGGCTAAAGCCTGGTGCCAGCCAAGCTGTCCTCAGTGTGGGGTTGCACCACAGACAGCCCACAGCACTCACGCTCTGCTGAGCTGTCCTCACTACTGCTCAACTCTCCCTAGAGAAGATTTCTTAAATGTGCCACAGCGGCTTGATGTTAAACAACATTTCCAGCCTCTTCTCCCCACCTCTTACCTAGGCTTTTAGCTCATGGAGGCACCTCTTTCTCCACTGATAGTGTAGCCCTGGCCACTTGCAGGCATGGAGAGAAAGGGGCTTTTCTGTCATGACTTCCGATCTTAAAGGGTGAGATTTTTCCACATACCATCAGCACCAGTTTGCCTTTCTAGCATTCCTTGAGCAGCCAAATTAAACAGATACCAGTTTAGTTTGAAAATAGTCATTTCTGGCAGAGGGTCTGCCTTGCCAACGGCATCACAGAGAGGTAATGGTGGGCAGGCTTTCCTGAGCAGTCAGCAACTTTATGCTGACCATTTCCTATAGCCCAAGTTTCCCCACAAGTAGGTTTCCCAGAGCTGGTGCTCTCAAAAACAAGCACATAGTATGACTGCATTGTCAAGAGCTGAGCAGACTAAAGGAATAAGCCAAACAAAAAGCAGAGGAGAAGGAGGGATTCTGCAACTTGCATAGCTGGGAGGCTGAGACCCAGAAACTGGCCTGACATCTCCTAGGGCACGGGCAGCATGAAGGAACAAACCATGTTTTTGAGCTCCAGTCTCACTGCTTGGTTACATGGCTTTGAGTGTCTTCTAATCTCCCCCATGTGAATTTTTCTTTGTAGTTTGCTCCATCTACACAAGCTTGATCCACGAGTGCCAGATGAACTGTTGTATGGGCGCATGGGCTATCTCTATGCGCTAATATTTGTGAACAAGCACTTCGGAGAGGAAAAGATCCCTCAAAGTCACATTCAGCAGGTACTGTGGCTTCTGCTGATTTGTTAGCTGTCTCTTCCCATGTAGCTCATCTTTGGGCAGATACAAATCAATGCTAGATGTAGAGAGCTCTGGCAACAAGGGAGAAACCACATCATGGTACCCCTGCTGCTGTTCTTCCAAAGGGACAAAGCACCACACCCCACCACCCATTTAAATCCATAGGCAGTACTGAATTGGCATTTCACTCCCTCACCCACACTCTTCCCTCTGCTTGGGCAGAAAACCAGCTCTTTTGTTCTGTGTCAGGATACTCACTGTGCTGTGTCCAAGACAGCAGCATTTCCCTCACCCACATCTGTTCCCATCCACAGGTCTGTGAAGCAGTTGTAGCCTCAGGAGAGAGCTTGGCCAAAAGGAGGAACTTTACAGCAAAAAGCCCACTGATGTATGAGTGGTACCAGGAGTACTATGTAGGAGCAGCCCATGGTTTGGCTGGGATTTACTACTATCTCATGCAGGTAAGAGGCACTGGAGCGGAAGGGCCTTTAGCAGCTGTTTCACATTTCTTTGAACAAGGAGGAGCATTTGAGTTGGTGCTTGGTGATGTCAAACTGGGTAAGATCCCTTGTGTGGTAGACTTAGTCCTGTGTCTGATGATACATCCCCATTTCTAAAGGTTTTCCCCAAGTCTCTTGAGATTTAATTTCCCACCTCCATGGAGATCTGTAGAGAAGTGTGACCTGCATTATACCAGCAGTTTCACATAATGGAGGCCTGTAGGTCAGCTGGGTCTGAGCTTCCCCCTCTTGTGTTAATTGCTTACGAAGTATTCCCATTTGTTGGTATGTGTGGACTTCCTGCATTTTTTGAGGTGGTTACTTGAAGCAATCTCAGATTGTTACAGAGTGAGAATCTCTGTAAGAAAAGCATGGTGAAAGAGATCATTCATAGTAGGAAAATGGGAAATGCCTTTGTTTCTAAATCAGGGTTTATATCTAAATGTGAAGGAGGTGGGACTTTTTACTTTGATAAAGCAGCTGAGTTCTGTAGTGCATGAAGCAGGCAGGGCAAGACAAGAGGCTGGGAGCTGCAGCGCCCCTTTGCTTTGATGCTGTCTTTCTCACAATTTTGCACAACTCACTGGAGCTCTAGGAATATTCCTTTCCCTGGCTCTGAAATGAGGGTGATAATTCCCCTATGTCAGTCACTTTGTGCCTAAATTTACAGTGCTTAAGCTCTTAAGAACATTGCATTTTCAAAGCATTAAGGGCACCCACTGAGTAATGCAAATTATTTTAACATAGCAATGTTCATAGAAATAGGTGATATCTTTTACTACACCTAGCTCTCACAGCAGGTGGAAAAGCAGCCACCAGTTTTCAAGTATTTGAGCTTTCCTTCAGGACCCTCAAAGTTCAAGCCCATACACAGGATAAGCGGAGTTCCTATGAATACAACCCCCTTATGCAACTCAGAGAGGAAAGAGTGGTTGGTGGTTTTAAAGCAGAAGGAGATTTGGCAAGAAGAGGATGCGAGGTGATTATTCCCCAGGAGCACATAACGGCTAGTTGGGAGCAGGGGAGACAGCAGCGTGCTCTGAGCCCACATTTGCACTGAGTCCCTGAGCTTGTTCCCAGGCTGATGTTTTAAATAATTTTAAGTGTAAGACTCCCCTAAAATACTGCATGAGCTTCATGCTTCTCTGCTGTACGAAGTACAAGGAACCTGGATCAGCCAAGCATGATGCACAAAGAGCCTTGAGGGAAGCAAACAAGGGAAATATGGAAAGGAGGACATTGGACTTTTATCTCTAATGGTTTTACAGCACAAGTATTGATTTTTAATTTTCACCCTATCAACCTGGGAACAGTGTGATCCTTAGATGAGAGTGCTTATTGCACTCTGCTGTGGGAAATTAGAACTGCACAGATTTCATGTGGGGCAGTGTCATTGGAAGAGGACACTGAAGCTACTCCCTTGCTTCCATCTGAGGTCAGCGGTGAAGCCACCCACTTGCAGTTATCCAGAAACATCTGTGAAAATGCAGCATCACAGCCCGCCAGCTGGGCTGGCCCAGCAGCTCAGAGCTGAGATGCTCTAGGTGCTAGGAATCATTCCTGGTATTCATCCTTAATATTGATTTTAGACAGTTTATCTCTCTACCCCAACTCTGGGTACCTGAAACTATTCCTATGCATCTTCAGGAAAAGGAGCAGCAAGCTCTCTTGCTTAGAGGGCCAGGTGACACGCTAAGGACAGTCTTTGTTTCTGGGGATGCAAGGGTACGACTGGAAGTAGGTCCCTGCCAAAGGGCAGAGCAGCCTGGGACCAAGTGAGTATTTGTGATGTGTGAAAGCCTGGACCACAGAAGTTACTTCATTTACAAGGAGCAAGTGGGTAAATAGCCATAGTTGTTTCTGTCTTTCAGGCAAATCTTGGGCCTCTTACAGACAGACAGAATGGTAATTCTCCCTGATTTAACACTTTCTGTCTCTTAGCCTGGCCTTGGAATGAGCCAAGTAAAACTGCACAACACAGTCAAATCCAGCGTGGACTACGTCTGCCAGCTCAAGTTTCCATCTGGCAATTACCCTCCATGCGTCAATGACACCAGAGACCTACTCATCCACTGGTGCCATGGGGCACCAGGTGTTATCTACATGCTTGTCCAGGCCTACAAGGTACCAGAAATCTTGCAAAAACTCTTTGGGGACCCCTAAATGTGGAACTTCATCATGGAGAAGACTGTTGAGACCCTCCCTGCCTGAGAGTAGGATGGCTTGTTACAATTGAATCACCCCACAGGGACCACTGACTGATACGGAAATCAGTCTTTTAAAAAAATTCTTTCTGAAAATACCCATCAGCTGTGTGGGGTGTCCTGCTGCAGATGACTGATGGTGACAACTAGTTGTGTGAAGTAATGGTCATACAGCCCCATTCATCATATCAAAATCATCCTCCTTTAAAGTAGACAGCAAAGTCATAGCATTAAGACTTCAGTAGGAGAGAAACTAATTAACCCAAGCCTCCCCACTCACACAGGGATGCTTTTTGTGTGGAGGAAATCATCTCAGCAAGAGGGAATATTTCTTGTCTCTACAGGTCTTTGGGGAACAGCAGTACCTAAATGATGCCCTGCAGTGTGCAGAAGTGATCTGGCAGTATGGGTTACTGAAGAAAGGCTACGGGCTGTGCCATGGGACAGCTGGCAATGCTTACGGCTTCCTAGCACTGTACAACCTTACTCAGAACATGAAATACCTGTACAGGGCCTGCAAGGTAAGAGCCTCTGTGAGGATGCGAGAGGGGAGTATTAATTTCTGCCTTTTACATCACTGCCTTTGCAACCCAATTTCTAGGGTGGCAGAGATGCAGCTAGATCTGACCAGCTCCACCAGAATAGTCCTTCAGCAGTGCAGTCACTGTCTGACAGCCTGTACAGACGGAATATCCTGAAGAAGCCTTGCTCTGCAAGGGATAATGTGAGGAAGAGGGTGGTATTTTTTTAAAGATCTGTCTGTAACAAAATTTGAACACTTTTTGTTCCTCTTTTCTCAGTTTGCAGAGTGGTGTTTAAGCTATGGCCAACATGGGTGCCGCACTCCAGACACGCCATTCTCTCTCTTTGAAGGTAACCTCTATCTCTAGGCTTGTATTTTGCTCCTGGATCTGAGCCAGTCCAGCACCAAAGAAAACCAAATACCCACTCCACTGAAGTCTTTGCAAAACTCAGTCTAGAGGATGGGAAGGAAATTGTATTAATTGTTTCTGTCCTTTCCCAGAAGCAGTCTTCTTGTAGCACAGGCTAATGTCTTAGCTGGAGCATCTTGTCCTCCTTGGGCCTCCCGCACATATTCTGCACACAGGTCTCAAGGGGAATTCTTCAATGGGTACAGGCCAAAGTCTACCTTATGGTAATTTGTAGCCTGGCTTCTCAGGCAGTTTCTTTTCTCTGCATTTTTAAGGATTAAAGTCCTTCATGGGCTTTCCAGTTCCGTTCCAAAGGTGAGTGAGGAACAGATGGGGCTGCTTTCGCAGGGTTTGTTGGCTCCTGTGGCACTTTGTGGCTCCTGCTAATAGCTCCCCCAAAATCTGCCATCAGCAGGTATTGCTGAAAGATCCTGTTCCTCAGCTAACGTAAATCTCCCTAGTTTTGCTGCAGGCCAAGGAACAAGAACAGTTACTTCAGTGAGGACCTCAGACAACAATGTCACAGGGTCCAGAATTTTGCAAAGATATTCATTGTTAAACCTCTGAACAGGTAAAGCAGAAGGAGGGAGCTGGAGGGGGGACAACCCACTGTGTTTTCCCAGGTGCTTTTCAACATTTGATTAACTTCAGAATGCTTTCCCCACTGAAGTACCTAATTTGCTTGGGAAACCTGGGTTCAGACCTCGGAAATTATTTAGGTCCTTCTGAAAATGTTTACTTTTCTTCTCTCTTCATGACTATTCACCCCCTGGATCATTGATAAAATGGGTGCCCAGAGAGAATCTCTCTGAAGCACATTGTATTTTCTTATCCTCAGGAATGGCTGGAACAATTTACTTTCTTGCTGACCTGCTGGTGCCAACGAAGGCCAAGTTCCCCGCATTTGAACTCTAAATCTGAGCTTGGCAATTTCCTGCCTGAATCCCTCCACACTTACAAAAGCAGTTCGAAGCTGCTTTCTCCTTCTTCCAAACTCATCGTTGTTCACCTAACTGAATGTAAATCCATCCTCCTGAGGGCATGCTAAGTTCTCTGGTCATCTCATTGCATTGTTTCAATTTAAAAGACAGAATGCAGGTTTTGCTGGTGTCTCTTAAAAATGCAGGGCTGCAGGTGGGAGCAGGGAGAAAATGTACAGTATTTTGTTGGCTATAGAGTTTTGCTATTTTGTGTATCCCATTTCCTGGGAGAAAGTTTTCTATTAAATGTAACTTTGGCCATTTAATTTTTTTTTGTTTGGTTGGTTGGTTGGTTTGGTTGTTTTGTTCTGACAAGTAATTGCAGGAATTTAGTTGCCTTTGGAAAACAAAAGATGAAAAACTGAGACTATTGCCCAGCAAGTTGTTTTTAAGTGTTTTCTTTCTGAACACCCAGGGAGTAGGCAGTTCAGTAGCTGGGCTGCTCCACATGAAGTGAATGTGATGGACTGTGGAGTCTTTATATAAGGTTTTTTAATGTCAGATTGCAAGTGGCACAGCTGGAACTGACAGGCCAAAACCTTGTCCTGAATTTTCCACCTGTCTGCTTTAACAGCAGTGGCTATGTATAGCTCTTTTGTGCATATTTTCCAGTGACAAATAATCCACTCGCTTTTGTGCTTATTTGCCATCTTATGCTAAACTTTGCATAAGTCCATTGATCATCTAATGGAAAACTCCAATCTAAAAGCGAGCTAAGCATGCTTGTTGGTGTGGTCTCTTCTGTTTAGCTTCTAAAGTTTATTTTGCAGTCTTTATTTAAAATTGTGTATGAATATTATAGGTGTTAGGTGGTGCCAGGCCCACCAGCAGCAGCATGGGAAAAGAAGTGTATTCTACTGAGTTTTGTCAGTGTTTAACCTATTACCTGTATAGATGTTGTTTACATGCTTTGTTTTATAAGCTTTCCTGAAACTGGATAATTTGAGTCACTTGTTTGCCTTGTTACTGCTTGTTGTATTTTGATATGCAACCACACATCTACCCAACTGGAAAATCTGCCCTAGGTTAAATAGCTTTGACCTGTCAAGCAGACCAGATACTTGCAAGGGGTAAATCTGCTTTTCCATCCTTAGCTGATGCTACACTAATTTGCAGCAATTAGGGACCTGACCCTGTAAACCACTTTCTTGGTACTGAGCATGAGCTAAAACACTGAGCACAGTGAGAGTTACTGATGCAGCCATACCGCTTTGTGCTGTTTGAGGGCAGCTCCTCAGCCTGCACAAGAGTAGGTGTGGGTTTTAATTTTTTAAGGGCCCAGTTGCCAAGTGCCTCTGGCCACCTAAGAGCAGGCGAGCAGCTGCAGGGCAGTGCGGCCAACCTCCAAGCCGGCACACTCCTGCACCAGAGATAGTGAAGGAGGAGGACCAAACCTGGCACACTAACACAGCTAGCTCACATGTGCCTGAACACAAGGCAGCCTAGTCCCAGCAGCATAGGCAGACCCTCAAGAACTTCCTGGATAGGCTGCTCCAGCAAAGAGTAGAAACCATTCCTGGAAGGCTGCCTGCTTCCTGAAAGCTCAGCCTCCTGCTGCCATCACATGTTTCTGGAAGTTCATCAGAAGACAGCCTGAAGCACAGAGAACCTCATCTGCTTTGGGCTGAGCATCCCTGTCAGAAGCCTCAAGCTCATGCAGACTCAGCGGTGGTGAATCCCTTTCATTCACGGGGCCTAAATAACACAGGGAGGAGACTGGAAAGGAGAAACAGCCTTGAGAGCAGGATTTGGCTAATCAAACAGTTTGGAGGTCGGATCCTGTAGTATGAGACCTGCTCTAAGTTACCTCCCAGCTTGGCTGGTGTGATGGCAGTGTAGGGACACTGCTCTCAGCCTGGGTTTCTCCCAGGCACTGCTTCTGTAAGGGAGATGGTTCATGCAGCCTGGTGTCATGGCAGCATCACATCCCAGGGTTTGTACACTGATTAGGGGATCGTCAGGGCCTGGTGTACAACTGCTGAGTGAAGCACTGTTTATTAAAAATGCTGAAATGAACAACCTTTGGGTTATTTTTATCCCCTGCTTTGTGACCAGGATTCATGTCTGAAGAGATCAAGATACGCCACAACAGCCACTCTGGTGGCTCGTGGAGGCTCACTGGCCTCCCACCCACCCTGAGTGTTAAAGAGTATTTCACACATTTTTCCCTGGCTCCAATCTGTCAAGGCGAGTCCTGTGCTTTCCCTTGCAGGCTATGCTTTTCTCCCAGGACATCCTTTTGCAGTGCTGTCTCTGTCCAAGGCCGCATCCTCCCTGCTGTGGCTTCCACTGGAGACCACAGCCCTGTAGGTTAGTCTTAATTGCATCAAAATACACCTGTGTGGACCACTGGCCACCAGAAAGAGGATGTGGATCCTCCCAAAAAAGCACCTCCTCCCCAGTGGAAGGAGGTACAGGCTGCCTCGGGGAGCCTGTGACTGTCTAGCACCAGGGGCTTTAAGACCAGCCTATCAGGAATGGTATGTGCCCTCCAGCACGAGCATAAATTAGGTTGCTTGAGGTCCTATACAGCCTGGTTCTCTACAATTTTCCTTTCTATTAAGGTTTGTGGTAAAGCTCTTCAGGGAGGGGTTCCAGCCATTGGGATGGGAAAGCAGCATAGCACAGAGTTTCTCTGGTTGCCCTTCCTTTCTCGTACAGCGGTGTGGTGCTGCCCTTTTCCACCCATCTTTATGCCAAGTGGAGGGTGCGGGAGCAAGACGAAGCCTGAAAACACACAACTGCTCCTGCTTCAACAAGCTACCTGAGAGGGACTTTATCAGAAGTGTAGATGCTTAACACTTAGTTCTCGATAATGGTTATGTTTGTCCATGGCAGTGTTCTGTTTTAAAAAATCAAGTGCCTTATACTCCCAAGAAATAAGTAAAAACATATTTTGAATGCATTGCCATCTGGCTCGGTTTGTGTTCACCTCCTGTGGTACCAGTGTGATCAGTAAGATGAAAAATGTCACAAATACTGTTAACCAAACGCCACCTGTAGGCGTGCATCTCCCCCAAGAAGCTGTTGTGGTTTCAGCTCTCAAGAGCTGACAGCCTCAGCTATGAAAGAGGTGACATAGGGACAGCACAAGAGGACAAATGTTATTGCTGCCTCTGCCCAGCTTACTTCATTTCCCATTCCTGCATATTAACTTTTCAACCCACAAACTGAGATCAGTACCAATGCTAAATCCGTGGCTAATACTATGTTGCAAGCAAATCCACCCTCCCCTGAGCGGTGGTCAGTCCCCACAGCATTAGCAGTCAGACACACAGCTCATCTGATAAATCAGTTTACAAACTACCACTGCAGTCGTTTAATGCACGCTGGTTTCACACTGAAACCACTTCAGAGTAGGCTGCTGGCTTCAGCATGTCAGACACCCTCGTGTTGATAAGGAAGAAGCACAGAAGCGCAACTTGGCCTCCACAAACCCCAGCTCTGTCCCTGTCTGGGGGCAGAAGGCTTTGTTTCCATCTGACAGGTGTGGAGCTGGGGAAGGTGGAGAATTAAGGTTGCATGGTCCCACCTGCAATACCACAAAAGCAGCTGTGGGAGAAGCAGCCATGAGGGGCACAAAGCTGCTGACGAAGGGCTTCATTTACACAAATCAGCCAGCGAGACGCTTCTCTCCAGCATCTCATCTGACTTCCATCCCTCTGCACCACTATCTCACCTTTCCCCTTCCCCTCTTTTATTTTGTTCATGTTTTTCCACCACAGTGTAATACCTTGGCCAAATGTGAGTGGGGTTTTCTCATGGTAACACCCAAGGGAATGTGGCTGGTCCTAGTGAGGCCACAAGTCCTGCTCCAGGCCAGCAAGGTCCCAGTACATACAGTTGATTTGTTGCAAGGGATTCTATTTTATGTTTTAAATTATTTTTTTATATTGGGAAGAACAACACAGGTTCCTCACATCTCACTGCCCAGAACAGCTGAGGCCTTTGGCTGAAGTGTCCCCTGCGTCCCTTTAGCTGCACCTGGGAAAGAAACTTGAACTGAAGGCCAGTACCCAGACCAGGAAATCTAAACCCGAAGAGTTACAACTCAACATTACAAAGTGTCTGAAGATAAAATCCAACAGAGCAGGAGGCAGCAGATCTGCCCAAAATAAGCACCTGAGGAAACATGCTGGAGCCCAGCTAGGCTTGCCCCTGGCAGGAGAGCTGGCCTGGGGACACCCCTTGCCAAAAGGTGGGTGGCGGTGGCCTCAGAAATGGGCTGTGTGCCCCCAGCAGATGGCAATGCAGCCTGACAGCAGCAACCACCCTGCCACTGCCAAGCAATGCCCACACCATCAGCTGCTAAATTGTACCCCAAGAGAGCTGGGATTCAGCTCTTGGGTAGCCCTGGGAAAGTTGCTCAAACCAAAAAGCCCACAGGGATGAGGCTGTATTTGTATACTGTGTGGGATGACAGATGTGAGAAATGTAGAAGCCCTTCAGAAGTGCATGGCCTCCAAGTGAGTCATATACACCCTCGGAAAAAAACAAAACAAAAAAGCACATCTTTCCCAATCCTGCCTGAAGCCACCCAAGCTCCTCCACAAGCCCCTGCAGGGAAGACAACTCATGCTTTTCCACCACATGGGTATGTTTTCACGGAAACGCTCCACATGTTGGGTGAAAACACTCTATGCTTCCCCATGTCAGTTTTACAGACCTTGCACAAGTTCTGCCACCAGCTGCTTCCAACTCCCAGGAACTAGAGAGCCTCCAACCCCCACCCCCACAGGCTGCCTTTGGCTCTGTGAAGTCTCCTGCACTGAACATGCCTCCCCTAGAACCCCACAGGGTTTGGGGACATCCTAAAAGGGCAAGAATGTCAAGAAAACCCAGCTGGGCACACGTATAAGGGTGCCAAGGCTCACCACAGAGATTTTGATGTCAAGGGAAAAACCAAACCTAGGCAGGGCTGAAATGGCTCCTGCAGATGGGCTTGCAGTGCTGTCTCTGTTGGGACACGGCCTGAAGCCAACAGGGCCAGAGCAGCCTCAGGTCTCCCTGACCCTGCTGACAGGCAGTCTTGGGAGTTTTCAGGCAACCCCTTATTTCTGCCACACATGGGGACAGAGGAGTACAATGCAGGGAACTGGACCCCATCGAGTGGGGGGGTTTCAGGCCAGTGGGTTTTTTCAGGTTTTCAGGGGGATCCCTGTGCACAGTGGGTGTGCAATGTTAGCATCCAAACTCACTTTCAACGCAGCAGGAAGCAGATAACTAAGCTTAGGCCAACATACACTCAAACCCACAAATTCTGTATCATAGCTGGTATGGATGGATACTGCAGCATCTTTACAGCTAGCCCTTTCAACTTAACAAGAACAGCTAATTAACCTTTGCAAAAGTGGCAAGCATGGATTTCCACATTATAGCTGAAACTGAGAGGGTTGCTTCACTGACTGTTCTTCCTGAATCAATCAACACAGCTCGAACCTTCTGCTTGCCTTTTTGGTTTTGTTTTTCCTCCTTACTTTTGCGTTTCTCAGTGGCAGTAATTTTCTGGAAGAATCATATATGTGGGCCAGACCTGCAGCTGCATAAAGCCCATGGAGTTAAACTGATTTAGAACAGTTTAGGACCCAGCCCTTCTGCAACAGCTGAACATAGAAGTCAGAGGGAGTTTAATTAACTTTGAACAGTTGATCAAATTTCAGGCCTAGCTAATAAACCTGTTTGTGCCTGACCTTAACAGCAAGTCTGGGTATATTAATTAAAGGATCCCAGCAAGATCTGACAGGTAGCTTTTTGTTGGGTTTGGTTTTAGTTTTTTTTTTATTTTTGAAAGAACAAGCAAACTTTTCCATCATTCAGGAGGTCCCTCACAGAACAACCCCTTACCATGAGCTGGAAACCGATACGCCACCACTCTCGCTTTAACACAAACATATTTACATCCCTCCTGTACCCCCCTGTCTTTGCTAAAGATTACAGAATATCACTTCACACCAACTGGGCTTCAGAGAGCTCCTTCCCAGCTCTGGAGTGAGAATCAGGGATGCTGCTACTGCAAAAGTGACATTGCTTGGCTTGGGTGATGCTTTGCAAGCCCAGAAAAGAGATGAGGGGCTCACTGTGCCAATGGCCATGGTGGTTCTAATGTGAACATGGCATCTGGTGTCTGGGGATGAGTGTTGCCCACCATTCTGGTACCACTCCACTGGTGCAACTGACTTTTGAAAACAGAGGATGAGCATGAAGATCTCTATGAAGATCTCTGCCTGTCTGGGCTGGTGGGATGCATGGCTGCTCCGAGAACTGAAGAGGGCCATCACATCTTTGCATCCTGCGGGGTTTTTGCTGTTTCAGAATCAAAACCACTCCCTCAAAAAGCTGTTGGGGAAAAGCACAACACAGCTCTCAATACAGCTGCTGATCAAAACATAGCCTGCTATTGCCTCACCCACAAAGCTTTGTATTCCCACGTGTTGCTTGAGCCAGCTTTCACCCTCAGCATGGTGGCCCCTACTGTTTCCTCCTGCAGCAGAGCTGTCTGAAGACACTTCTGTTTTACCTCTCTCTGCACTTGTTTCTTTCTCACACACTTGTTTCTGTCTCCATGCTGCCCCTTTTGGGGAAGAAGGGTGGCAGCTTTTACTCTGGATCATTTCACGAATCCAGTTTACAGCATCATAGCAATGGGAGGGCAAAATGCAATGTGGGAGGACGGCAAAACCAGCTTAGCGCAAGGAAATCTGCACCCTCACAGTCGCTCATGGGGAGGAAGCATTTGAGCACAGCCAGGACCACCCAAGAACAACCTCATTCCCAATATTTGGGCAATCTAGATGCTAAGAGTTGCCAGTGGAAAGGGAAGAAGATTAAGTTTTTTCTCATGTAGCCCTCAACTCCAGAGGCACAAAAGTAATTTGCTTTTGTCACCCTCTGTGCTGGACGGGGCACCTTGCAGCCACCTTTTACCCTCAGACACTGTGCATCCCCTCCACTTCCCCCAGAGGGTGAACGAACAACAGCAAGTATGGCCAAAAAGTACAATAGATCCTGTAATAAATGGCCACCCCGGAAGCCTGTGGACAACAGTAAATTGCTCTGCTTCCTCTGCAGCAAGGAAAACAGCCAGCGATGGAGAAGGCACAGAGGTGGTGCTAAAAACAACTTGAAAGCCTTAACGAGGGAAAAAAGAGCACAGCTGTGGGGACCCATTTAACGCCATCTCTTCATGGCTGGGGAATTTCTCTCTGGCAGGACACATGTCAGGCAGCCCTTGCAAAAAGCTTGTTTTGCGGCCATTGCAGTTTGCTGCAGCATTTGCAGTGATCTCAGGCAGTAATCAAATCCACTGGTAGTACTTCACCATCCATAAATCCCATTGGAGCCGGGCCCATAAATAGTTACACTGTAGTATGCAGCTGCATACAGGGCAGGAGCAAATGTTCCACATTAACGGCTGTTGGCTCTAATCAGATTAACTGAGGAGTTGATCATATTTCCACCATTTGGCTGAGTTTTATTATAGCTACCCCTCCTTAAGGATACCCCTTCACTGGTGAAGGGGACACCACAGTAGTGCCAAACAGCTTGTAGGGGAGACCCAAAGCACCCCTTAGTTGCAGGGGTTTCCCC